GGGAAAGACAGTTCAGTGGAAAGAAGAGGGGAAAAATTGAATGTCAGACATCAGCAATTATAAAATTAAGTAAGAAGCAACCGGAGGATGAAACAGAAAAAAAAAAAAAATCAAGAAAGGAATAAAAAATCATCTAGCTGAAAGGACATTGGGGTCATAGTCAGAAAACTCTAGGCAGGAGTTTGAGTTCCCATTACAGGTCATGAAAGTCTTATCAGTACAGCAATGGTTTCAGTTGCTTGAAGATACAATTGTATTTTAGGTGACATTATATAATGTGTCTTTCCTTCTTCTCTAGGCAACATTACTTGTACTCCATGTTCTGTATTTATGTTAAGTTGAATGCCATCCCTAAAGTTATGCAAGCCAAAGTCTACCGTTCTTGTACCAAGAAATGAAATAAATGCATTTTGAAGGAAAAGAGTGTTGTTTTGAAAACTTTTACTTTAAACTTCAAGCTTATTGGAACATACATGGTAGGAAAAGGATTTAAAAGAGATGCTGTGTTTTCCAAGAATGTGCTAAAACTTGGCAGGGTCCTGAGCATCTCTGCATCACTGTGGTGGGTTGACCCTGGCTTCCAGCCAAGCACAAGCACAGATGCTTGCTCTGTCCTCCTCCATCAGGACAGGGGGAGAAAACAGGTAGAACTGGAGGGAGAAAACTCATGGGTCAAAATAAAGACCAAGAAATTACTTACCAGTTGCTGTCATGGGCAAAAGAGATTAGACTTGAGGACTTTAATTTAATTTACTGCCCATTGGCAGAAATATTCAATTACTGGTTTGGGTATCAAGAAACAAAACCAAGAAACACATTTCAATCACCTTTCACCCTTTCCCAGGCTCAACTCCACACCCAGGCTCAACTCCACTCCAGACACATCTCCCCCCACCTTAGTGTCACCAAAGGTTGCACTCAGTCTCTCCAGTGAGGCAACAAACAGTGCAAGGGAGTGGGGTCACGGATAGCAGTTTCTTTTTGCCGCTCCTTCCTTCTCACTCTTTTCCTGTGCTCCAGTGTGGATCTTCTGTGTCCTGCACTCCCTTCACAGGTCTACCTCCTCCAGTGTGGATTGTATCAACTGGCTGAAATCCCTTCATGGGGGTGCCTGCTCAGGGAGCACCTCCTCCTTCTCTGGCCTTCTGTTGTTTCTCAGTCTTTTGTTCCCTCTTCTTTCTGATACTGTCTGCCCTTTCACAAATATGTTTTCACCAAGATTCCACAAACTCCTCTAACTGGCTCAGCTTTGGTGTGCAGTGGGTCTATTGTGGAGCTGGCTGGAACTGTGTCCAGCACAGGGCAGCCCTGGATATCTTCCCATAGAGGCCACCCTTGTAGTCCCCACCACCCACTACCAAAACTTACACCCAATATGGCCACACCCATGAAATAAATGGAAACAGCTTCCTACATTTGGCCAAACCCAACTGAAGTTCCTATAGCACCTTTAAGATCAAGGTGGTCCATCAGAAGCTGTGAAAAGCAGCTGCAGAAGGATGGGACAGGGAAGGTATCACAGTCCTTTTGCAAAAGTACTGAATGTGAAAAGTTTGCTTCCCATGGATGCTCCAGCTGCACTGAGAATGCAGATAATTTCCCAAAATACAAGTGGCCACAGGAGAAGAGTGACAGTGACCAGTGACTAACTTTGGGATAGCACTCTTAAAAATGCCCTCATAGCCTTTGGGGAGTTAGTGAACTTGGCCAACAGGGACAGTATCTGCAGGCTGGGAATCAATTCTTAGCTGGAAGCCAACTGATAACCCAGGAAACGCGTCAGAGAAAGTGGCCATCGGTTGTGTTTGTGTGTGTGTGCCATGTCAGTAGCAGAGTGTAGGTTCATTTCTCCTGCTTGCTAATCATAGCATATATGGGATTTGTTGGTAGGCAGGCTTGAGCTGTGCCACTTCCTATTCTCTGCTGGTATTCTCGGTTAGCTTTCTGAAAACCGTAAGTTTCCGTTTAGCTCTCTGGAACTGCAGCAACTTTTAACTCACGATCACAACAACTATGAGCAGAAGAGCAATGTGACCTATCTAAGGGGAAGCTCAGAGTCTCCTCTTGATCTGTGATGGATCTTACTCCTGGAAGTGACAGAGAAGATGCTGATTCTGTCAGGCATGGAACATGAACATGCCAAGAAACGGTGATGTCCATGTTCAGAAACCTCCATTTACAATCCCTTGATTGTAAACTCTATGGACTGAACCGACTTGAAGGTGCTTGAGACCGCTGTTTTAGAAGCCTTAGTGATGGCTCCTCCATTTCTCTCAGGAACTCTACTCAACCTCATGCTTTTGCTCTCAGTCCCTGCCCGAGCTACGTTACAACCCTGTCTATGCCTGGAGTACTGCATCCACCTTTCAGAATCCTCAGCACAAGACAGATGTGGACCTGTTGCAGCAGGTTCAGAGGAGGGCCACAAAGATGATCAGAGGTTTAGAGCATCTCTCCTATGAAGACAGGCTGAAAGAGTTGGGGTTGTTCAGCCTGGAGAAGAGAAGACTTGTGGTAAACCTTATAGACCTTTCCAGTAACTGAATGGGGCCTAAAAGAAAGCAGGAGAGGCACTTTTTACAGGGGCATGTAGTGCTAAAACAAGGGGTAATGGCTTCATACTGGAGAGGGGAGATTTAGATTAGATATTAGGAAGAAATTTTTCACTATGAGGGTGGTAAGACACTGGCACAGGTTGCCCAGGGAAGTTGTGGAGTCCCTATCCCTGGAGGTGCTCAAGGCCAGGCTGGATGGGGCTTTGAGCAACCTGATCTAGTGGGAGGTGTCCCTTCACATGGCAAGGGGCTTGGAACTCGATGATCTTTAAGGTCTCTTCCGACCTAAACCAGTACATGCTTCTATGATCTACCCCACTGATCCAGATGCTGACCCTGACCCTGGTGTTTGACATTCTGCCTGCTTCATTCCTACAGATCTGCCTAGTGATCACTGTTGACTGACTCTGGTTATCATCACTAGACATCCTCCACTGTGACTGAGGTCTCTGTCGGTCAGCACACAGCCACAGACCAACTTTGCCATCACCTTCAGCTCTTGGTCAACGCACACCCTAATGGATCAGCCTGCCTTTGCTGCTCCCTGACAAGAGCAACACAAAGGCTCAGTCCCATGAAGTGATGTGAAGTTAAATGTGGGGAAGCAGAAAACTGCCTGAGATGAGGGACTGGAGTTTTGGGAGGGATTTTAAAATAGTATTTGAGAGACATTGTCCTGAAAAAGGGAGCAATACAATGTTGTGCAAAAGAAGGTATGGATTGCAGTAATGTGCAGAATCTAAGAGAGAGAGGACAGTGTTTGGAGGAACAGCTGGAAGCA